TAACTGCTCGTTTCCTAGTCCTTGAGCAGTACAAGTCCTGGATGGAGTGCAGGGGGGCACCGATGATCTTTTCTGCTGTCCGTACAGCCCGCTGCAGTCTGTTCCTGTCCTGCTTAGTGGCTGCTCCATACCAGACTGTGATGGAGGAGCAGAGGACAGACTCAATGACTGCAGTGTAGAATTGGATCAGCAGCTCCTGTGGAAGACTGTACCTCCTCAGTTGTCTCAGGAAGTACATCCTCTGCTGGGCCTTTTTGAGGATGGAGGAGATGTTGGACTCCCACTTCAGGTCCTGGGAAATGGAAGCCACAAATGGGTCCCTCACGGCTTTGATCCAGGCTGTGGGACCAGTGCCAGTATGGGAGAAGGCGGACTTAGTCATGCTACAGGCCTCGGATCCTTTGAACACCGCAGAATGTGTATGCGCTAGCTTACGTTCATCCGGCTATATGTTTTATTATTCCTTAAAACGTAATTAAAAATAACACATTAATAAAATACATGTAATGTATTTTTATTCTATTAAAGTTTAACCTCAACCCTTAACACCCCCAAACCATATGTCCCCCTATCGGCAACACGTGGCATAAGCATGCAGGGTATCCGCGGATCCTTAAAAAGTCTTAAAAAGTCTTAAATTCCATAATTTAATAATAAGGCCTTAATTAGCATTAAAATGTCTTAAATTCGCGTTTCAAAGGTCTTAAAAATGAAATCTAACCGACCCTGTAAATAAGATTTTATTTATTCAATTTGAAATCTTTTCGTCTATTTGTCACGTATCACATAATGGGCGGAACCAATTAAAATACGCGTTCGCGGGGAGTTCGCGTGACACAGGCTTTACGGTAACGCTGCGTGAACCATGGTAAAGTTTGAGCTTTAGCCTTGTTTAGCCATGGGGAAATGTAAATTTAGTGAAAATTGGTTACATAACCCTAATTTTGCGCCGTGGTTAAGACCAGTTAGTGGCAGTGTGTTCGAGGTCCGGTGCATACTATGCAAAAAAAACTTAAAACTCGAAACAATGGGAGTGAAAGCTTTGGAGACGCACATGCAGTGTAAAAAACACAAAGTGGCTGCGGAAACCTGTCGGAAAACACCTGGTATTTACCAGTTCTGCTCCGTCGAGCCCACAACAGTAGGCCTACCACAGAGAGCTGCTGCATCCCAAACATCGGCGACTGCATCAGCTTCAACTTCAAGCACTGCGGTTTCCGCTCCAGCAGACATCAGAGCAACGTTTGCCACTACCACAACACTCAGAGCCGAGGTACTCTGGTGTCTGCATACGATAACGAAGCATCAGTCCTATACTGCTAACGAAGCTGTCGGTGA